GGTCCCCTCCCCCCTCGCCCTCGGCGCCCCCCAGCCCATGCTAAGGATCGTCAAGGCAGAGAAGGCAGAGCGCGCGGAGCTGGGGTCCAGCACCCCCTACCAGCGCACCATCCCCTAACCGCCGCCCGCGACGGCGCAGCCCCGCCGCATGCGGCCTGCCGCCGGCGCGCGGGCCGCCCGGCCGCGCTGGCGGCCCCCTGCGGAGCGTCCGGGGCGGCGGAGCCGGCGCGCTACCCGCGGCGCCGCGGCGGCCAGGTCAGCCCTGCGTGGGGCGCCGGTGCTTCTGTCGGGGTCGTGTAAGACGGCCCCTTGCGGCCACAGCTTGACGCGTTGTCGTTCCTGCGATCTCGGGGCTCGCCCTGTTGTGTAAACCTTGTCATAGCCCTTGGTAGATGAGTCGTGTGACGGCCAGCGGCGCCGGGACAGCAGTAGTGAAAGGAGATGCCGATGAACAGGAGCTGCCCACAAACAGGAGGTGCCAACAGACAGCCATTACGAGATGCTGGAAGCTACACGTTACTGCAGTGGGGCCGGAGGTGAACACACAAATCAACACCGCCAGCAACATCTTGGACGCGGTGGGGCCACAGCCGTCGCCTGCGCGCGTCCCAACACCATCCCCAGCAATGGCTTCTTTGAGCGCGACCGCCGCCAACCCGTTATCGCCCGATTTGGATGCGCCCAGACCAGCGGTCGTGCATGCGCCCCAGCACCCCTGCGCCTCAGCAAGCCTTCCGGTGGCCGCAGCACCTCAATCAAGCACGACGCAGAAGCAGCCGGCGACCAACCGCTGGCGGGGCGGGGTGCACAGACAGGGCGTCAAGCGGCGCGGGCCCAACAGCAGATGCACAAGGACCTTTTGACCTGCCACCTCACACCTTGGCCCGCCGTGTGGCGCGTGGGGCCGCCTGCGGCTATCCAGCGCAACCGGGGCATTGTTTTTGTCGACAGCGGTCGGGTGGGCTTGCGTGTGCACTGCCTCTCTGTACCAGGCTTGAGTAGCTGATGAATGTAAATAGAATAGGATTGCTGCAGCGTGCCGAGGCCGCCTGGTGCTGGAGCCATCCAGGCTCATGGGATTGGGCTTTCTAAACAATATACATGTTGACTGGGACTCTCGTGGCCCTGGATGGAATTCCTCGAGCACAGAAGAACAAGGAGGAGTGGAGGCAAGCGAGGGGAGATAGCAGAGCCGCCTGTCGATGTGCACAACAGCATCTTCACAATGCTGTTGTCAATGACCATTACTGGCAGCGCAGCCTTGCAGGACCACCTTGATGTGCCCGTCTGTCCACCCATCACGCAACAACAGCCGCAAACCCCGTGAGAGGCTCCGACCCTGGCCCGGGCCCCCACTGTGCGCGCACGCGCTGCTTCAGAGGCCCGGCCGGGGCGGGTGAAAACTTGCTGTCGACTTTGTTGTACACGCGGCCATGGAGTGATGGAGTTGAAGGGGACGTTATGCACGACATGTGAGGAAGTGGGGATGCTGCCGCGGTCTGGCCTACGCCGGCATGCGCGTAGTAGTGCGCCTCACACAGGACCGCATCCCCCTTTCATTGGCCCTACGGATTGCGCTGGGTTGCGTCACCGTCTCGTCCACCGCCCCTGGTAGCCTGAAAAGCTGGAGATTTAGCAATCGGGCCCCTTTTCATGCACGCACGCGATTGAGGGCTGGTGGTTGGGGTGCGGCACTGCAGAGTGGGGTGCCGTAATCGAGTAGTGCCACTGAGCAGGTTCAATCCCATCTGCTGCTTGCTTCCCGAGTGCTTTCGGCGATTTGAACATCGCATCTGAGAAAATTTCGATGCTCACCCTTGGTCCATTTTCCCCCTCCACTCCATCCCGCCCGAAGCGCCGCAATGCGTCACGGCTCCTGCGAAGTTCGAAGGCTGTTTGAAATGCAGTGGTGCCCGGCTGAAACACACGATACAGCATGATGACAGGCATATAACACGCTTCATAGATTCCATTTAAACTTTTCTGGCTGGTTTAGCTTGTCTACACCGCCAGGAGACGGGGGAAAACAGGGGAGCATCCCCTTAGTCACGGGATGGGGGTCATCGACATGCCGCTTGCGACGCCCCAATCAGGAGTCACGCCCCCACCATGAGTCTCGCCCATCGGCTGGCTTTCATGTTTAGCTATTGGACAGAACTGTTTTTGTGCGGCGCGAAGGTTTTCACCAGCTGGTGCGCAAAGCTACATGCCACCGTCGAGGCACTACTGAAGGCCGCCCTGCTTGCCCCACGTCTGTGATATTAGTTCATATAGATAGGTCTGATTGCACCGCTAGGGCCCCTTGCCCTCCAGCCTGCACGCGCCAGTCCCGCTAAGTCCAGTGCCGTGTTAACGCGGATAAGAGCTTCGTTGAGCGATCGAACCTGGAAAACACGGCCATTAGTGAGGCTGTGGGGCGGCGTCCGCAGCCGTTGCACGAGATGGGCGGGGAGGACGCCGTTGCTTACACTGAGAACCGAACGGTGGGGCGCCCCGCGGGCCGCGTGCACGGGGCGGCCTGCTGCGGACTGCGCCCCCGCGCCGCTGACTCTTGAACGATGCGCTTGCCTTGCGGGGGAGGCCCCGGGGTCGGCCGTTCTTCGCCGTCGTCATCCCTAGTGCTGGACACGACCCTCATGTTGCCGCCGCCGCCGTGTGACCCACCCCCGCCGCAGCTGTTCTTCGCGCGCGCCCCGCACAGTGCGACGGAGAATGACATAAGGTCACTCTTCGCCGCTTTCGGCCGCGTCGAGGCCGTCAAATGCTTCCGCGCCGGCCAGGCCGCGCCCGGCGCCGCGACCGTGGCGGCGGCGGGCGCGGGGCCGAGCAGCAAGGGGTGCGGCCTGGTCAAAATGGCGACAGCCCGCGAGGCGGAGGCCGCGATCGCGGCGCTCCATGAGACCTTCACCTGGGGCGGCATGCCGGCGCCCATGGTGCGGCGCGGCCGCGGGCCGCGGGCCGCGGGCCGCGAGCGCGCCCGCGAGGGAGGGCGGGGGCGCGTGCTTCTGCTGTATCC